TTGGTTTTCTTCTTTTAACTTCAATATTCAGCTTGCTTTCTACTCTGAGATGGCATTTGGACACTTAACATATATTTGTAGTCCATCCTTGGGCAGAGATTAGGTTCTGGACTTGACCTGCTTAAGTTTGAATTCTGATGTCACCACTGCTTCTCCAAATAGCTTTGATCAGTTCACTCTTTAAGCTTCAGTTACTCCTTCTAAAATGGAGATGATAATCCTAGGTACCTCATAAGTGTTGTCGTGAAGTCTAAAGAAATAAGGTGTGTAAGGCTAACTACAGTGGCTCAGTCCTATAATCCCTATAATCTTGGAGGATATATAGTTCCCTTGAGTAACGGCTGAACTGTGAATATTGACATTTCCAATTGCGTACCCTCCCCCCTGTGGGTTTTTTTAATACTCTTTCCTTAGAATCAGGGCCTCTCCAAAGGATCATCTACTACACACAGGAATCCATTCCTCCTCTTAACAACTTTGTGTACAGGTCAATTGAAATAACAAATGCCGATCTATGGTATATTTTTAAAATTAGAGTTAGGAAGAACTGCCATAAAATCTATTCTGGGCCCTTTTAAACATCGGGGGGAGCCCTATTGCCTTGTGGAGTGAAAGCTAGTCTTGTTCTAGAAATTGGGCTTGCACGGGGTGGGAGTGGGGTTGTATTCAGCTGCACCGCTAACAAGATTCCTGTGCTCAGATTTTCCTTCCAATTCATCCTAGAACTGGTCAAGATATACCTCACCAAAGCCACTTTTTCCTCCCTCCTGCCCATGCCTGCCTCAAGAAATAGGTGAGTTAGGTTTTTCTTGGGGAAGCGTTTGTTATATTTTTAAATGTTTCATACCAATTTATCTACATAGTTCAATACATTAAAACAAGCAGGCTAAGCACAGTGGCTCACGCTTGTAATCCCAGTATCTGGGGAGGCCAAGGTGGGTGGATTGCTTAAGCTTAGGAGTTTGAAACCAACCTGGGCAGTATAGCGAGAACTCATCTCTACAAAAAAAAAAAAAATTTTTTTTAATTAGCCAGATGTGGTGGTGTGTGCTTGTAGTCCCAGCTACTCAGAAGGCTGAAATGGAGGGATCACTTGAGCCCAGGAAGTTGAGGCTGCAGTGAGCCATGATTGTGCCACTGCACTCCAGTCTGGGCAGCATAGTGAGACCCTCAACTCAAAATTAATAAATAAATACAGAAAATCACTGTAAACTCTATCAGTAGTTATTATGGGTAGATTTATTATTTGTATGAATTATTAAAGTCTTATGTTAGAGACTTCTCCAGCGTGATTATTTATAGTTTGTACGATGCCATGTTTAAGCCATTTTATCAATATGAGATATAAACCTTAGGCAGTATGTAACCATAAAATAAATGAGATATCTAACTTTTAAAAAGTAGTCAGCTATATCTATGAATGAAAAGATGAGTGTGTAATTAAAAAGATCACACCACTTTACCATCCAGGTATCTGTAGATTGAACACATTACAAATCTCCACTAAGGGTTGAGTACAGTTGAAGGAGATTCTCAGAGCTATCGCCATGTTGGAGAAGTAGACACGCATGCAAAACTGACCAAGGATAGGAGGAAAAAGGATGTGCTACACAGGGAAGGAACCAAGTGAGGACAAAAGGAAGGTAGCTGACCTCCATGTAATAAACTGGATCCCAGGCCAGGCGTGTGGCTCATGCCTGTACTCCCAATGCTTTGGGAGACCAAGGCAGGGAGATCTCTTGAAGCCAGGCATTCAAGACCTGTGCAACACAACAAGACCTTGTCTCTACAAAAAAAGTTTTAAAAATTAGCCAGATCACAACCATAAAAAGGACAAACATATGGACTTTGCAGCAACTTGGATGGATTTAGAGTCAATCATATTCAGTGATCTAACACAAAGACAAAGAACAGAGTATCATATGTTCTCACTCATAAGCGGACCTCAAACAATTATAATACTATAAGAAAGGGATTGGCAGTCATGGGAAATTGTCAGAGGAAGGGGTTGGGATTGGCAGTTGAGGGAAACTGCTAGGGGAGGGAGGGATATAACTCATCAACAAGGATACCTGCATAATCAACATTTGTATACCTAACCCTGAATTGTACCCCACATCTTTATAATAAAAAAAAATTAGCCTGAGCAGTTCAAATACAAAATATTCCATTTTATCTTATCACTTAATTTTGTTCACTGTGGTGTAACTCAAGAGTTGTTGCAGATAAATAAATAAAATTTGTATAATCTGCATTTGAACTAATAAATTATGAAAGATATTGGCATTCAGTCATTATGTAGTCAACATGAATCCAATAACCCTCATTCTATGAACAATGATTAGGTATGGTAAGGGCTTAATAACATTTGGTTGTTAGAAATGTGCATTAAAAAAATCTGTAGTGGTTTACTTTTTTTTTATTGCTCTATTGTTTCCACATGATAGCTGACGGATGAAAAATCCATGACACAAATGCATTATAATTACAGCTATCAGGCCACCCATAGCCATTTATTATTTTCATATAGAAAGCAGTGTGGCGATTCCTAAAAGAGCTACAAATTGACCTTCCATATGATCCAGCAATCATTCTCCTGGGAATATATCCAGAGGAACATAAATCATTCTACCAAAAAAGACACGTGCACACACATGGTTATAGCCGCAATATTCACAGTAGTAAAAACACAGAACCAACCCCACTGGCCTTCGAAAGTGAACTAGATAAAGAAATTACAGTACATATACATGATGGAGTAATACATAGCCATTAAGAAGGACAAACACAAGCCGGGCTCAGTGGCTCAGCCTGTAATCCCGCGCCTTTGGGAGGCTGAGGTGAGTGGATTGCCTGAGCCCGCGGGTTCGAGACCCGCCTGGGCAACTTGGCGAGACCTCATCTCTACAATAAATTAAAAAATGAGCCGGGCGTGGTAGCGCACACCTGTAGTTCCAGCTACTTGGAAGGCTGAGGCGGAAGGATCGCCGGAGCCCAGGAGGTCGAGGCTGCGGTGGCCGGGAGCAGCCACTGCACTCCGGTCTGGGCGATGGAGTGAGACGCCAACTCAAAAAAAAAAAAAAAACAAGAAGGACAAACACGAACTTCAGAGCAACGTGAATGGATTTAGTCAATGATACTCAGTGATCTATCACAGAAACAAAGAACTGAGTACCACGTGTTCTCATTCATAAGCGGACCCTGAACATGTGCCATAAGAAAGGGATTGGCAGTAGCCAGAAACTGCCAGGGGAGGAGGGGCCACATAGCATCAATAAGGGTACTGGATCTCAAACCAGGTGAAGTGGGGACCAAAGGGAGGCCCAAATTTTACCTGTACAACAACCGCTTACATAACTAATCCTGAATTGTACCCCATATCTTTAAAATTTTTTTTAAAAATACAGAACCAACCCCACAGCCCATCAAAAGTGGACTGGATTGACTGGGCACAGTGGCTCACACCTGTAATTCCAGCAGTTTGGGAGGCAGAGGTGAGAGGACTGCGTGAGCCCAGGGTTTCGAGACCAGCCTGGGCAACTTGGCAAGACCTTGTCTCTCTAGTAAATCACAAAATCAGTCAAGCGTGGTGGCACACACCTGTGGTCTCAGTTACTTAAAAGGCTGAGACAGAAGAATCGCCTGAGCCCAGCAGGTCAAAGCTGCAGTGGCTGTGAATGTGCCACTGCACTCCAGCCTGGGCGACAGAGTGAGACTCCAACTCAAAAAGAAAGGACCGGATAATGAACGTGTGGTACATGTGCATGATGGAGTATTACACAGCCATAAAGAAGAACAAGATCACGGACTTCACAGCAAATTGAATGGAACTGAAGATCACCATACTTAGTGACCTATCACAAAAACAAATAACTGAATACCGAATGTTCTCACTCATAAGTGGGACCTGAACATCCATCACATTAGCACAAGGGAGGGATCGGCAGTTGCTGGACACTGCCATGGGGGAGGGGGAAAGAGATAGGAGGGCACCTAACAACACAAATTGTATCCGGTCCTAAACCAGGGCAAGTGAGGACCAGTTGGAGGCCCAAGCTCCACCTACATGGAGCCGACTTGTGTAGCTAATCCTGGCTTGTTCCCCACATCTCTAAAATTAAATTAAATTAAATTAAATTAAATTAAGGTACATTTTTCCTGAAACAAAATAATAAAAAACAAGAGCCGGGCTCGGTGGCTCAGCCTGTAATCCCGCGCCTTTGGGAGGCTGAGGTGAGTGAATGGCCTGAGCCCGTGGGTTCGAGACCCACCTGGGCAACTTGGCGAGACCTCATCTCTACAATAAATCAAAAAATCAGCCGGGCATGGTAGTGCGCGCCTGTAGTTCCAGCTACTTGGAAGGCTGAGGCAGAAGGATCGCCGGAGCCCAGCGGGTCGAGGCTGCGGTGGCCGGGAGCGGCCACTGCACTCCAGTCTGGGTGACAGAGTGAGACTCCGACTCAAAAAATAATAATAATAATAACAATGATAAACAAAACACTTTCTATCCTGATGACATCCTGTGGGATTAGGTATCTAATGGCAATGAAAAGCTTGAAAAAGGGAAGTTTGCAGAGTTGGACCCTACAACAGAACAATATATTAAGCAGGAAAAGCTTCAGCCAGTGAAGAGGAAATGGAGTCTGAGGGTAAGTTAAGGAGGGAGTGCTCCTTCCAGCAGTGTTGCTCATAGCTAGCACTAGCTTTTCTTCATCTTCTCATAATATCCTCCACTGCATCATCATAGTTATCTGGGGACCTCACCAAGCAGGCTGACAGCCATGTGTGGGTTGACTAATTACAGTAACCTGAGATTTGGCCACTGGGTAGCCAATTTTCTCTTTATGAAGGAAGGTCTAATGATTTATATCATCATCATCCTTATTAATACCTCAAAGGTGACCCCACCCAGAAATGCTGGGAACGGGTGGCACAGGACATGGGTGGGGCCAGTGTGTTCTGTTAAATACCTGTGGTCCGGCATCGGCTTCCTCTCAGAAGGCAGTTCTGGAGCGTTTTAGGCTTGCTCGTTCTCTCTCTTGCACGCTGCAGTCTGGCATTTATTTCACCTCTGTTCACTCGTCTGGAAGATTCGGGCCCACACCATGACTGATGAGGAACTGTCTGCCTTGGTGGTGGATAATGGGTCAGGGATGTGCAAGGCGGGCTTTGGTGGTGATGATGCCCCTCGGGCGGTGTTCCCCTCCATGGTAGGGCGTCCCCGACACCAGGGGGTGATGGTAGGCATGGGCCAGAAGGACTGCTACGTGGGAGATGAGGCCCAGAGCAAGAGAGGCATCCTGACCCTGAAGTACCCCATTGAGCATGGAGTGGTCACCAACTGGGGTGATATGGAGAAGATCTGGTACCACACGTTCTACAACGAGCTCCGCGTGTCACCCGACGAGCACCCCATCCTCCTCACCGAGGCACCCCTCAATCCCAAGATCAACCGGGAAAAGATGACTCAGATCATGTTCGAGGCCTTCAACACGCCGGCCATGTACGTGGCCATCCAGGCCGTGCTGTCCCTCTATGCCTCAGGACGGACCACAGGCCTCGTGATGGACTCTGGGGACGGAGTCACTCACACCGTGCCCATCTACGAAGGTTACGCCCTGCCTCATGGCATTCTTCGGCTGGATCTGGCAGGCAGAGACCTGACCGATTACCTCATGAAGATCCTGACAGAGAGAGGCTATAGCTTTACCACCACAGCTGAGAGGGAGATTGTGCGGGATGTCAAAGAGAAGCTGTGCTACGTAGCCCTGGACTTCGAGCAGGAAATGGCCACTGCCGCTGCATCCTCCTCACTCGAAAGAAGCTATGAGCTTCCTGATGGACAGGTGATCACCATCGGGAACGAACGCTTCCGATGCCCTGAGGCCATCTTCCAGCCTTCTTTTCTGGGCATTGAGTCCAGTGGGATCCACGAGACAACCTTCAACTCTATCATGAAGTGCGATGTGGATATTCGCAAGGATCTCTATGCCAACACCGTGTTGTCTGGAGGCAGCACCATGTACCCAGGCATTGCTGACCGGATGCAGAAAGAAATCATAACCCTGGCACCCAGCACCATGAAAATCAAGATTATTTCTCCCCCAGAGCGCAAATATTCTGTTTGGATTGGGGGCTCCATCCTGGCCAGCCTGTCGACGTTCCAGCAGATGTGGATCAGTAAGCAAGAATATGATGAGGCTGGTCCTCCCATCGTTCATAGAAAATGTTTCTGAATGGGCATCCATGTTAATAGGTTTACATTTTCCCTTGTTCTAGGTCATAGTGATGGTCCTGCTTTTATCCACTTTCAATAGGATCAAGGTAAATAGTTCTCTCTTCTAACATGTAAACCAGCAAACCCATCTCTCTCCATCCGGGGCTCTTGTCCAGCTAATCACATCTTGATCTCTATCAACTGAGGGTGAATTCTAATACCATGTTCTATTTCCTTCATCTATACGGTCTGAAGAAATGTAGACCTGTTTAAGTAAAAATAAGTGACAAGAAGTTAAATCATGATAAATGTCACTTTGGGAAGGATAACTAGAATTTTCAAGCTTTAAAATCTAGTTCTTGCTAGAATAGTTAACAATAACAGGCTGTTCAAACTTGTAAAAAAAAATAATGTGTATGCACTTAGAGCTATGTCTTATTAGTTGAGTATCTTCATTTTGTTTACTTCTTCACATGGACGTAATGATTACATAAGTCAATAATATCCATATATACATAGACACAGGAGAAATAAAATATTATATTATAAAATATGCTGCTTTATCTGACTATCTGAACAGCTGATGTGAATTTCTTTATTCCCCAGAGTCACCATTTTTGTAGATCCACATTTTGTTTTCTTATTAAGCTGCATAATGAAATAGCCACCATTCCATTAATGTTGTTATAAATCAACCAAATTTTCAGCACACAGTAGAGTTTTGCAGGCCAAACATATTTGGTTGTATTACTTATTAAACTTCATCATTTGAAAACAGCAAACTGCAAGTAATGCCTAATTTTTAAAATAGATATATTGCAATATCAAATGAATGCCATTATGTTACAGTCTGACAAGGATAATTTTATTTTTATTTCTTAGCAAATCAACGCACATCTTGAATAATTTCTGTGGGCCATGATTTTGAATATTTCTCCCATGCAAAAATATCACTGTGGAAAAACATGGTTGTAGTATCTTTATTGATTATAAATTTTAGTGCTGGTAGAGTAATCCAAATTTTATTCTTGGAAAAATTTTAGAATAATTTTGCTTTATTATACCCAGTAACTAGCAGTACTTCTGCACACAAAGTGTCTCTGAGTTACTAACATCTTTTAAAAATCAGTGTATCTTCCTATATCTAAAATTTTCTACTTAATCAAATGATTATTTATCAACCAATTTCAAGTACTAGTACATTTATTTCAAACTATGTTGTGATTTCTGATTATTTGAATGTTAGGATTATTTGTATTTTTCAGGGCAATTTCTAAGAATTTAAAATATTTGTCGGATTGCTTATTGGGCATTATCAGGCTCTCAAGAAAGAGGAATCATTTCTCTTTTCCTCTTAGTTGGGAAACATGTACTTATGTTTTAAAGCTTTATATTGGAAACAGTAGGCATTTTTGCTTAAGATAAGACTTAAAATAATTTTATTATTCCTTCTTTCCTCTATCTGGCAATTTAATTTCTTAATGCATTTAAGCCGAAAAAAGGGGGGGTGCACTTTATTTTATAAAACTTAAAGTCTCCTTTCATTAAATTAAAATTGTGTTAAACTTGCATTCTTAGATTTCCTATTATTTCCTCTCAATCATTTCCTTAGAACTAGAGAATGATCCAGAAAGATCTTTATATATAAATATATATATATATAACCTATTCATCTGTATGTAACAATTTTGTACCTGGTACATTTAACCATGTAAACACAGGCAAATTTTTAAAAAGAAAAATAGCTGGTCAAATAAGATTATAGATTTCTCATAATCTCAATAAAAAGTTGGAGTTTAGTGGATGCTGGTCTTTAGGTAATTAGTAGGCAAAGATAATGGCAATGATAATAATCATACATTGGATTTATATGTTGCAACGCTTTCCATTTGCAGAGTGACAAACATTCTGACCTACATTCTGGATTACCAGAAAAAAAATATATCTCCCCACTCACAGAATATATATGGGACAGGAAGGTAAACTTTCAAGAGAGTCAACTACAGCCCTTGCTGGATGCATTGGCTCACGCATGTAATCCTAACACTTTGGGAGACTGAGACAGGAGGATTGCTTGAGGGCCAGGAGTTTGAGACCAGCCTGGTCAACATACCAAGACCCTGCCTCTACCAAAAAAAAAAAAAAGGTTTTTAAATTAGCTGAGCATGGTGACAAGTGTCTGTAGTCCTAGTTACTTGGGAAGCTGAGGCAGGAGGCTCACTTGAGCCTGTAAGTTCTAGGCTACAGTGAGCCCAAAAGAGTAAGACCCTGTTTCGGAAGGAAGAAAGGAAGGAAGGAAGGAAGGAAGGAAGGAAGGAAGGAAGGAAGGAAGGAAGGAAGGAAGGAAGGAAGGAAGGAAGGGAAAAAGTAAAGAAAGAGAACTAGCAATATTAGATGAAAAAAAAAACCCATAATGCAAACCATGCATTATAAATCTTGAATTACTCTGGTAACTCAAGAGTTTATTATATATAAAATCTACAATTTCTAGATAATGAGTTGGTAAAATGCCAGCAGTTTAAACTTGTGGTCTTTGGATATTCTCCTGTTTATCAACATTGACAAACTGATGGATGAGTTTAATGAGGAAACAGCCCATCTTGCAACTTCATATTTTAGAATCAAAGAATGCCAGCCAGCCTCGGTGGCTCAGCCTGTAATCCCGTGCCTTTGGGAAGCTGAGGTGAGTAGATTGCCTGAGCCCGCAGGTTCAAGACCCGCCTGGGCAACTAGGCGAGACCTCATCTCTACAATAAATCAAAAATTAGCTGGGTGTGGTAGCGCACGCCTGTAGTTCCAGCTACTTGGACAGCTGAGGCGGAAGGATCGCCGGAGCCCAGCAGGTCAAGGCTGTGGTGGCCGGGAGCCGCCACTGCACTCCAGTCTGGGTGACAGAGTGAGACTCCAACTCAAAAAAAAAAAAAAATCAAAGAATGCCATATATTTAAGTAATACAATTGGCAAATCATTCAACAGTGACTCACCAGCCCAGCTCATCAACCATATTACTTGGAGACCTTTATGTAAATCTAGATTCCTTGGCCCTAGGCTCAGACATTCTGGTTCAGTATGTCTAGCATGAGCACTAGGAATCCAAATGTGCAGCCAATTAGAAAGAATCACATCTCCAAAGAATTCAGAACCAAAAGCACATTATAGGCTCCACAGACAGAAAAGACCTCTGGACATTTGTTTCATCCATCTTCCTCTGAAGATGGGACAGTGCTGAGGCAGCCTTCCTAGATGAATTTCAAACTATTGTAAATGATTTTCACTCTCCCTAGTTGGTGCATCCTGAGTAGCAACCTAAGGCCAAGGCTGTACCAGTCTCCTGCAAACTGCTATTTCCCAGTCACAGGTAATATTTTTCTGAAAGCACACTGTATCCAAAGCCAGTTCCCATACCCTTCTTTCCTAACATATAGATGTGCTTATTTTTCTTTTCTTTTTTCCTTTTCTGTTTTTCTTTTCTTTCTTTCTTTCTTTTTTATTTTTTGAATTGGAGTCTCACTCTGTCGCCCAGGCTGGAGTGCAGCGACACATTCACGCCACCCCAGTGTCAACCTGCTGGGCTCTGGCAATCCTTCTGCCTCAGCCTTCCAAGCAGCCGAAACTACAGGCATGTGCTACCACCCGGCTAACTTTTGGTTTATTGTAGAGACGAGGTCTTGCCAAGTTTCCCGGTCTGGTCTCGAGCCTGCGAACTCAGGCAATCCGATAGTTTTGGCCTCCGAAAGTGCTGGGATTACAGGCTGAGCCACCGAGCCCAGCCTGATGTGCTTATTTTTCAGCAGGGAGATAAAATAACCCTAGTATATGGGTTGTAATCTTAGATTGTAATCCTAGTACACAATGCACAGTTCCGTAATACAGAAAGACCAAGATAGGAGTATGACATTATCCAGACAATCAAAGGATAATCCTTTGGGTGACAAGGACCTTACCATGCTTATTCCTTCATTTTACAACTATTCATTCAACGCCCTATGTCAGAATATACTAGAGAAATGTTTCAAGGACCTTGAGGGAATTTAAAATCTGGTAGTAGGAGAAACTATGTGCAGTGGAAAACAGTAAAATCTAAGGGTGATTCATAGCCTAAACACAGTCCAAGGTGGTAAGGCAATTCATATAAGGACATTTCAATGCCAAGGTGATCAAAGAAAGAACTGAAAGCACATGAAGTCACTAAGTTGTTTTAAAACACAAAAAAAGCTGTATTGAACACAAAAACTTTTCTTAGATGACTCAGGCAGCATTATTTATTGGGGTTGGTGTGGTAGTTAATTTTTATTTTTAATCTTTCTGTTGGACTATACCAGAAACTGTAAAATATAATATAAAAGTTGCACACTTTATATATATAATGCTCAGTTCAAGTGTTGCCTCTTCTATGGAGGCTTTTTTATCCTTCTCTCCCCCCATTTCCAAGAAAAAGTGACAATCTCCTCCTTTGTGTGCCTACCATATTATCCACATGGATGTAATATCACAAACACATCGCAAACATCCCTCACACCAGCCCCTGGAGGACAGAGACAGGGACAGTATTTGTCCACCTTTGAAAAACTTCCAAGATTTTTCTCGTGCCAGGCGTGTAGTATTAATACACATGGTGGAATATAATCAGTGAGCAATTTCACAGATTTTTACCACGCCGTGTGAACATCAGAGTTCTGCACTGCCTATTTCTTACTAGTGTGTTCTCAGTTCTTTGTATGTCAGCATCTGCTACTTGTTTGGTCTTTCCTCTGAAGCCTATTTTCTTTTTTTTTTTTTTTTTCCTTTCTTCCTCACTTCTCTTGCCTTTTCTATTCACTTCTCCCATGCTTCTCAACATGCAGAGCTGGCTTTTAATAGTCTTTTGTTTGTCAGTAAAAGTTTTCCATCCTTCTGACTGGTCGAAGGATCGATCAACCCGTCTTTCGGTGTGTGTGCTAGCTATGTGGCTGCTAAGATTTAAAAGAAAGAAAATGTAGGAGGAGGGAGGGAGAGAAAAACACACAAGAGGGAGAGAGAGGGAAGAAAGAAAGGAGGAATGAAGGGTGTGAGGGAAGGAGAAAGGGAGGAGGGAAAGAAGGGAGGGAGGGAGGGGAGTCTTTCACTTAGTACAATAGTATATTCAGCTCTTCTATTCTATCTGCATTCTTGCTGGTATTTTTCTCTTTTTTTCCTAAACTCCCAATTGCCCTAG